AGAGAGGGAACACAAGCAGGGGGAGCGGGAGAGGGAGAAGCAGGCTTCCCGCTGAGCAGGGAGCCCGATGTGGGGCTCGATCCCAGGACCCTGGAATCATGACCTGAGCCGAAGGCAGGCACTTAACGACTGAGCCACCCAGGCGCCCCGAGCTTCCACACTTTTAAGCTTTGAGTAGTAGAAGCTGTGGAACACCTCTCCCTGCAGACCGTAGGAGGCTGCCTCCCAGTGCTTCCCCTCACTACCACGTATGCCATTTGCTGTCATTTTTGCTGATTGAAAAAATGGCGGTGCCCAATCCAATACAGTAGGTAATTGAAACTCGTGGCTTCTCTGTTCTTTTAATCAAATTGAATGTTTTAAAACCAAATAAGATGGAATCTAGAAATTTTAAATGCCTGGGACATGTCCCCACATCAACTAGATGTGTCATTCATTGGAAAGGTCCGTTGACCGAGCTTGTCAGCTGGCTTTGGTCACGCATCTATACGTCACTCATTTCAAGTGAGGCGGCATTCGGGCCCCTGAAGCCGGATAACTCCATTGTGCCTTTATTTTGGCCTTTGACTCTCTATGCCTTGTTTTGTAGATAGCAGTTTATTTGTCCCAGCCTGGATGCGAGGTTCCTTGAGGTCAAGGACCTTGTCCGGCTAATCATTGTGTGGCCCAAACGCTTAGTGAAGGCCCTTGAACTTCACAGGTGCTTAATAAATTATTGTTGTCAACTTCAGCTGAGAGCTATTCCTAATGGCCCTATTCTCCAAGACTAAAATGATTAAGTCACCTCTGGGATCAGAAAGGAAGACTTTGGAGAAGCAAAAATTTGCCCATTTAAATCCTGTGCTACATGAGAAAGTTCTCCTCGGATTGTTGGCAAGAACCTCCCCATCCCCCTCCCCCTCCCTTGTTATTTCTGGGCTTTCCCCATTTTCAATGCCTTTATCCAGTTTCTGGAATATTGTTGGGCCAATAAAAGGTCCTGGATAAATGTTTCTTTTTTTTCTGCTTGTTGCCTCTGTTCTGTCTCCAATGAAGAGAGCCCTAAGACCCATCTGGTCCTACAGCTTTGGGGCAGGGGCTCCAGCTTTCATTGTTCATTTCTTAGTGCAGAAAGATTTGCAAATTTTACTGCTTCTGGGCATTCACTGAGCCAGAGGAGGTACCCCAACATCTACTCAACACCTTGGTTACTCCTCAGCATTCTTTGGCCCCGGGGAGAGAAAGACATTGCTCTCAGCTCAGTCATTAAACTCAGTAAGTTTTTTCTAAATTCTCCACTCTTACAACCACCTCGTTTCAACTTGAGCTTGGGGATTAAAATGAAAGATACTAACAAGAGAAACCATAGCAAAGACAAAGTATTTCTCTTTTTTTAAGATTTATTTATTTATTTATTTATTTATTTATTTATTTGAGAGCAGCGGGGGTGGGGTGGGGTGGGAGCAGAGGTAGAGGGAGAGAGAGAATTTCAAGCAGACTCCACACTGAGGATGAAGCCCAACACAGGGCTCGATCTCACGACCCTGAGATCACAACCTGAGCTGAAACCAAGAGTCAGATGCTCAACCGACTGAGCCCCCAGGTGCCCCAAGACAAAGTATTTCTTTACATAACGAAGATATTTAATAAATGAAACCTGCAGTGCCAAGAGTTGCTGAGGGAATTCCCAGGGAAGAGATGAGGGTCTCTTTTTCTCTCTACCATTAGGGTCCATAACTCTAACTCCCAATGACAGTATCTCCAGCCCCTCGCCCCTTCCTTCCCACATCATCATCCTGTCCCATCCAGCTAAAAAGCTAGATTCACCCATCTTCCTCCAGTCTCCTGGTTATAGGCTGTTAACAGCCTACACTCGTGTAGACCCTTGTGTGCTGCAGAAGAAAAATCAAATTGAAATGGAAAACCAGATGGTAACATAGTATGCATAGCTAGGTGTTTGGGAACGGTGGCCCCTTGGCTCTCTGCCGGAGGAGAGCAGGAGGCCATCACCCCAGAAGCCCACACATGGCAAGTTCTGATCTGACCACTTCCCAGCCTGTGCTGGAGGCAGCCATGCGCAGCTATGGCAACAAAGAAATGTTTTGGCTTGGGGACGAGCAGGATGTCATCAGGAAAGAGGATAAGGGGGAGCCCTCAAGATCCCAATGATGGGGCCCAAGTTAGGAACCTGAACTTGATAATAAGAAAAAATGGAGACAAGAAGAATTGATTCAAATGAAAAGCTGAACCCAGGGAGGCAGGCTCAGTACTTATTTTTTGAATGGTATTTGTATTCAGAGACTTTGATGCCCATCCCCTCAAACAGATCAGATTTCTCATGGTTACTGAATCATTTGCTTGGAAGGATCCCATGTCACTCGGGGTGGGATGACCCCGGGCACCCCTCAGTGAGAAATACTGAGTGAATCACTGCTCCTTTCTTTTTCTTGGTGTTCTTAGTGATGCCTATTGTCCTGGAGTTGGTATTCTTAGCAACATGTCTGTGTGCATGGGTAGAAATGTCAAGAAGGTAGAAATTGTGAACAGTAAGAGGTAAAGGCAAGAGAGACGTTTTCTATTTGATCAAACTGTAAAAATCAACACCTCAGTTTTCACTCCCCAAATAGAAGGTATATGTTTGAAGAATTTTGTTTAAAAGATGAGAACATCTTGAACAAATTTCTCATTTCTACAGATGTTGGCATTGGCTGTTTCTCTGCCTAGAACACGACTATCACCACCACACACACACACACACACACACAAACCACACGCACACACATACCTCTCCTTGCCTGCCTAACTCCTCTGTAGCTTTCAAGTATCCCTGCTTAGTCTTCCCAGAACCTCAAGTCTGAGATGGGTTCCCCTCTTGGCCGTCCCCACAGGACACTGTCCTTCCTCCAGCACAACCCCTACACAATGTAGGAATCACCTCACTAGGTGGAGATGACATTGAACAAGGAGTAGATGCAACATGGGCGTCTGCTGCATCTACTCCTTGTTCAATGTCATCTCCATCCTCATCAAACAGGTGATTCCACTTCCTGGAATGGCACTGAATAAGTATTTATACAATAAATGAATTCTGATGAGTCTGTGTAAGCCTTTTCTCTGTATGAACCTTTGTCTGTCTGCACAGTGTCTGCTGAGTATGGTTGTTCCGGTTGGGTACTGTACAGGACATCTAGTCAAGTCCGGAAGGGAGGCCTGAAATCCAGCTCACGTTCTCATCACCCAGCCATTTTTTTTTTGTTTGTTTTTTTTTTTGCTGCCCATATCCACCTGGAGGAAGACGTGCCTTTTTTCTGATTTGCACAAGGGCACCATACAAGCTTTCAGCAACGCAGCTCTGAACAACACTTCATGTCTTCAAAAGGAAGTGAGAGTTCTCCCCCTAGTTCCTAGAAAGGCTAGGACTGAGCGCTTTTATGAAACTGTTTCTTCGGGTCCTTTGCCAGCCATCACAACAAAGACCCTGACCGCATTCCCTCACTCTTCTCTCCTCTGATTTTTGTCTCCTGCAGGGTTTGGGATGACAACTCCAGCGACAGTAGGAGGAAAAATCTTTCTGATCTTTTATGGCCTCATTGGGTGTGCAAGCACCATCTTGTTCTTCAACCTCTTCCTGGAGCGCCTGATCACCGTCATCGCCTACATCATGAAGTCGTGCCACCAGCGGCAGCTCCAGAGACAGGGGGCCCTGCCCCAGGAGAGCCTGAAGAACCCGGGCAGGTGCGAGGTGGATAGCCTGGCCGGCTGGAAGCCCTCCGTGTACTACGTGATGCTGATCCTCTGCGTGGCCTCCTTGCTCATCTCCTGCTGTGCCTCGGCCATGTACACCTCCATCGAAGGGTGGAGCTACTTCGACTCGCTCTACTTCTGCTTTGTGGCTTTCAGCACCATTGGCTTCGGGGACCTTGTCAGCAGCCAGAACGCCCAGTATGAGAGCCAAGGTCTCTACCGCTTCGCCAACTTCATGTTCATCCTCATGGGCGTCTGCTGCATCTACTCCTTGTTCAATGTCATCTCTATCCTCATCAAACAGTCCGTGAACTGGATCCTGAGGAAAATGGAGGGGGGGTGCTGCCTACAATGCCAGAGGAGACTCCTGCGGTCACGGAGGAACGTGATCATGCCGGGCAATGTCCAGAACCAGTGTAACATCTCCATAGACACGGACAGGGTGATGGACAGCGACACAGATGGGCGGCGGCTCTCGGGGGAGATGATCTCCATGAAGGACTTCTTGGCCACCAACAAGGTCTCCCTGGCCATCCTCCAGAAGCAGCTGTCGGAGACGGCCAACGGCTGCCCGCCCCAGGCCAGCGGGCCGTCCCAAGACAATGAGTTCTCAGACGGGGTGGGGGCCTTCGCGATCATGAACAACAGGCTGGCGGAGACCAGTGGGGACAGGTAGGAGCGAGGAGCAGACGCTGGGCGTGGAGACCAGGAGATGGACCACGAGGGCCCGGGTTGACTGTGGAGCTGTCCCGTCACCCTCTGCAGGCCCAGCCTTAGAAAGCTCTTCTCCTCTAAGGTCCAAATCAGTCCTAAGAATGAGTCACAAAATCAGCCCAAGACATTGGCACTATTTCTTGACCCATCTTCCTCCAGGGTTTTAACTGCCTAAGGGAGGGAGGGCTTGAGTAGGCCTCCATTTCCTGCTGCTCTGTTCTTCATTTGGAAATAAAAATCCCAAACGAAGATCCTCTTGTTTCCCCTGGAGCCCTAATTCTGTGAATCCAGTTTCACTGCCCATCCCAGCCCCTTCAAACAAGCGGGGGGAATGTTTCACGCTGCATCTGGGCCCTGGGCTTCCTTCAGAACGGATGTGTCCCTAATGCCACAGAGAGGGAAGTCACCTGTTTTACTCTCTGTGTCTGCTTCTCTGCTTTTTGTTTCTCCTTTCTTTAATTTTTAAGATCCTCATGCCAGGCTAAGGCGTCTATGGGACCTCCGTGTGGTAAGGAAGCTAAAGTCAGCTTCAGGCCTTGAAATTGCTGCCAAGTAGTGGAGAGACTCACTTTTGTAATGAAAGAATATAGCGTAACGTTCTCCCTCCGAATGGTCACAGAGACCATGTCATTTTTTTTTTTTTTAACCAGGGCTTGGGGCCCATTGCAGAGATAATGGCTGACTATTTACTAGAACTGAAAATTGAATAAATCCTCACTTTATTAACTAAGATTACATGAGTGCTCATTATGGACAGCGGGGCTGGGGCGGAGGAGTGCCTAATTAAATGGGCATTTATTGAGAAAAAGGAAACAGAGAATTAGAGCAAAAGGAAACAAGGAATTAACCCTCAGGGATATGAGCATCGTCTTGGATTCTTGGCTGGAGAAACATTCTAGGTCAGGTAAGAAAATTTGGCTTCTCCTGTGTCAATTGGTTTCGGTTTTGCTTTCTGGGATTGTAACAAGTCTAGTTACATAACCTCCCGAGCCAGTAAAACATCCCTGGGAACAAGGGCTGTTGATTCTTCATATATTTAGGAGAGAACATTTTGAGGTCTGAGAGCAGCACTAATAAGAGATAGCTGTTGTTTTTATAAGATAAGGATGGTACACACAGCTATTTTAGAAACGATGAAGATGGTCGGGCATCATAAAGAAAAGAAAGCAGAGAACTATGTCTAATGAAACAGAGATATTGAGAAGAAAGCATCAGAGCTGGGAGGACCTTGGGAACCATCCCATACAGCTTTCTTTTGTTTTAGACAAGGAGGAAACAGAGGCACGAAGGGACTCCTCCTTGTCTGAACTCTTCAGGCTGACAGTGAACAGCAAGGGGAATCCAGGTGTCCTGACGGGGATGTCCTGGCTTGTCACCCATGCTCCACACAGCTTCAGACTTCAGAACCTCCCTCCGCTGCTCCTTCTTCGGCTGAGTTGCCTTTTCTTCCAGCTGGCAAACCCAAATATTTTCTTTATAATGCTAAAAGTACTCAAGAGCAGGGGTCCAATAGGCAGCAACCCTGGGCTTTGAACGAAGGGCTGTGTGGCTCCAAAGTCAGAGATCTTCATGTCTTACCTTGTATCGCTCTTAAAGGGAAGCCTTCTGGAGCTACTGCAAAGCCCTCATTAAGAACCTCTGATCGAGGGACGCCTGGGTGGCTCAGTCGGTTAAGCGTCTGCCTGCGGCTCAGGTCATGATCGCTGGGATTGAGCCCCGAGTCAGGAGCCCGCTTCTCCCTCTGCCTGCCACTCCCCCTGCTTGTGCTCTCTCTCTCTCTCTGATAAAGAAATAAATAAAATCTTTAAAAAAAAAAAAAAACCTCTGATCTCAAACCAAGCACCCCCCGCCCCCGCCCAGGCTCTGCCCTGCTCGAAGCATCATGGGGATAGGGAGAGGAGCTGGGTCCCTGCCCTAGGAGATGTCTTGAGCTCCACATTCCTGGTACAGGGACTGGCCCAAGGTCCTTGCTTCTCCAACCCAGGTCCCTAGACCTCGGGGGTGTGCCAGGGCGCCAAGGACCATCAGTATAAGTGAGCATCATCTTCCTAGAAGGTCAGTGTACTGAATGATTTTAGCAGAGAGATGTTGTATCAAAACACGTGGCTCTATTTAAGTAGGATCCAAAACTGGAATAAACTTTTGAGCTACCATGAAAAAAATTTTTGAACTTTTGAGGAGTTTTCCTGAGGAGTCTTCTCAGGGTCTTAGAGAATGAGTTTGTTTTGCTCTGGGTTGAGGTTCCCTGGTGGAAACATTTGAGAACCAGCATAAGGAGTGAAGTGTGGTACATTTACAATGGATGATGGGAATAACATTTGCCCCCCAAAATGGCAAACTAGGAATTTATGTAGTTAAGCCTCTCTGTAGTTACTCTTAGGCATGAACTGGTTAACAAGGGAATTTCTAGGTAGTAATATAAAGCTGGAGTTCAAAATCTGGAGGCCACAAATCCTTTAACATTGTTGCCTATGTACAGGTACACCGTGGAGGTATTGGGGGTTAGGTTCTAGAACACCACAATACAGTAAATATTGCAATAAAGCCAGTCTAATGAACTTCTGGGTTTCCCAGTGCAGATGAAAGTTATATTTACAACATACTATCGTACGTTAAGTATGCAATGGCTCTGTGCCTTTTACAAAGTACGTACCCTAATTTAAAAATACTTTATTGCTAAAAAATGCTGTCATCTGAGCTTTCAGTGAGTTATAATCTTTTTGCTAGTGGAGGGTCTTGCCTCGATGTCGATGGCTACTGACTGACCAGGGTGGCGGTTGCTGAAGGTTGGAGGGGGCGCTGTGACAATTTCTTAAAATAAGACAGCAATAAAGCTTGCTGCATTGATTGACTCTTTTTTTCACAAATGATTTCCGATGCCTCGTGATGCTGTTTGATAGCATTTTACCCACCGTAGAACTTCTTTCAAAACTGGAGTCAATCCTCCCAAACCCTGCTGCTGCTTTATCAACTGTTTCTAAATTCTTTGTTGTCATTTCAACAAGTTTCACGGCATCTTCACCAGGAATAGATTCCATCTCCAGAAATGTCTTTCTTTGTTCATCCATAAGCCACTCCTCATTCGTTAAGTTTTTCTTTTTTTAAAGACTTTATTTAGTTTTAAGTAAACTCTCCCCCCAATGTGGGGCTTGAAGTCATGATGCTGAGATCAAGAGTCACCTGCTCTACCAACTGAGCCAGCCAGGCGCCACTCACCCATTAAATTTTTATCATGAGATTGCAACAATTCACTCACATCTTCAGGCTCCCCTTCTAATCCTGGTTCTCTTGCCAATTCCACATCTGTACCCAGAACACACACAACATCTACTGATTAAGTTCACCATCTCCTATGGGCACGGTTTGTACACCCATAGACAATTACAATAGTAATGTCAAAGATCATAGATCACAGGGCGCCTGAGTGGCTCAGTTGGTTAAGCAACTGCCTTCGGCTCAGGTCATGATCCTGGAGTCCCGGGATCGAGTCCCACATCGGGCTCCCTGCTCAGTGGGAGGTCTGTTTCTCCCTCTGACTCTCCCCCCTCTCATGTGCTCTCTCTCTCTCTCATTCTCGCTCTCTCAAATAAATAAAATAAAATCTTTAAAAAAAAAAAAGATCACAGATCACAGATCATCATCACAAATATAATAATGAAAGGGTTTGAAATATTGCAAAAATTACCAAAATGTGACACAGAGACACTAAGTGAACAAATGCTGTTGGAAAAATGGTGCCAATAGACTTGCTCAATGCAGGGTTGCCACAAACTTTCAATTGATTAAAAATGTGGTATCTGGGGCACATGGGTGGCTCAGTGAGGTGTCGGACTCTTGATTTCGGCTTAGGTCATGATCTCAGGGTTGTGGGACCGAGGCCCGTGTCAGGCTCCACACTCAGCGGGGAGTCTGCTCAAGACTCCCTCCCTCTCCCGCGCCCCCTCCCCCGCCCCTGCCACGTGCTCGCGCTCTCTCTCTCTCACTAAAAATAAAAATAAAGAAATCTTTTTAAAAAACCATGGTATATGCAAAGAGTAAGAAAGAGAGGTGCAATAAAATGAGGGAGTACAGACATGTACATACAGACGTGAGAGG